GAAAAAATAAATATTTTTTTTTTTGAAGTATAAAATTGCTTGTCCGATTGATGTAATTGAAATGCAGAGAAATACATTATTTGAGTTGTATTGACGTTGTTAATGCTTGCATGCATCATGTTAGAGAAATAATACAAATTAAGTGCATAGGCATTTGGATGAAAATTTATTGTTTTTTTTAGTAATTGTATTGCGAGGACATTTAATAAACGTGCATCGAGGACAAAACGTGAATAAAAAACATCGTCATTGAATTGTATATTACTTGATTTTAATCAGACAAAGAATAGCCATCAGAAATATGATTCATAGCTTAAAGTATGCACAATGAAATCTTATTTTTTATTATTAATATAATCGGAATGATGTAATATTTATTCTTTTATTTATCACAATCTATCGAAACTCTTAATTCTCCTATCATACCGTAATTAAAATAAAACTATTTGTATGATCTCTCTGATTTTACTTTCAATTCATAGTTTGAATAGAGTTAAGAGTTTTATTATACAAAAGACTATATATACTGAATGTATTGATAATAAATATACAAAGATTTTTTTTCAAGACAAGATCGTACGAATACACGAGTATTTAAAAAATAAATAATTTGTCATACGCTTAATTATTCTAAGAAATGCTGCCTGCTTCGTATTCTATTATTTATCTATCAAATAAATTCAATTGTAACAATTAATAAAATATAGAGATCAAATTATTCAATGACACTATTTTACAGTTTGTTATGAAGTCACACTCTCTTCCAATCATATTCAATTAAAAAATTAGAAAACATCTTTTTTAATGTATGAAAGATACTGTCACTAGTGACGCAGCTAGGGGAGGCAAATGAGCAATTACTCATTGAAATTTTACTTTTTTCTTTCGTTTGTTCGTTCTGTATAGAATTAAGAAAACAAGAAAAGAATCACTTCTTGTATTTTATTTGTAAGTTTGGATGAACATGAACTCGGTTTTATCGAGTAGACGCTAACCAAGGAGAAGTTTCAATCGATTATCAGGAATTAAAAGTTATTGTAGGTCTATAATGAAACAAAACAGATTAAATGGACTTGCTGCTGCTTACATTCTTAAAGTTTTCGATATAAATCCAGATAAAATATTGAAATTATATACACAAATGAATTCTCGACGTTCTGATTTATGTGTTTGAATTTGAAACATAAATGTTAGAAATAGAGACACTAAAATACGCATATCTAAGACTTAAGATCTGAGTTTAATGCATGTTTGACTAGAAGAACCTCATTTTATTCTTTTGTATTTTTTCTATGTTAACACTACTTTGCTTGGCCAACAAGTTTTGGCCTATCAATAAAAATCTTCCTTATCGTTTTTTTTCAACACAAGAGAAATTTGCCCATTAGTCTAAAAATCCTGCCTACACCACTGATTTCATCTTATATTACATCATCTGTTTCTATTTGACGTATTGTATGAACAAATCATTTAAGTTCATCTATATATATAGAACATGATTTTGAAATCAACAGCATTGAATCCAATTCTTATTTTCACTTTCATTTTTTTAAATTAAACATCTGTAAAATTTCAGTCTTTTCATACCATGAAATTTAAGGATTTTATTTCAAATGATTAATTATATGTTTATAATTCTGAATAATCTTTGTAGGATGATTTGATTTTTATCTATTTGTGTGATGTCTGTATTAGGCCAAACCACGATTTTTTAGTTCGGCTTTCATTTGAACAATAGCGCAGAGTCCACAATGAGTGGCAACGCAAAAATCATTCATTGCACTACCCTATAATAGATCATGTAAAATAGTTTTTAAACAATATACACTTACTCGAATTCTAAGAATTGATCGTATTCTCATACGATACATAGCAATACGGTTCGGAACGCAACAAACACACGATGAGTCATCGTTGATACGTATCGCTATATGGCGCATAAAACTGCATGTACAGAAGTAGGCGTTCATACCTGCAAATGATTATAAATATGTAAAAATTTCTTTTTTAATGAAATTAACAATTTTAACTACCATCGATTATTTTCAGATACATGTTTTTCTTTCAGCAGAAAATATCAAAATTTGAATAGTAGTACAATCGAATATTCTCTACGCCACATATTTACGCAGCAATATCATTATGTCCAAGCATTATATTAAGGTATATAACAAACTTTTTACGAGCTATAAGTGTGGGTAAATGATAAACATAATACGTTTACTCTCATAACCACCTACACTATTTTATAATCCTGATAGTATTCGATGTTTGATTAATTTAAACATAAATTTCTTTAGAAAAGACATCCTTTTGAAGTAAGATTCTATTTTAATTGAATATATTTAAATTAAAATTAAATTTTAAATGATAGATAAACTCTAAAGGGTGAGCCAAAAGTCTTGGTAGTTCTCAGAAAAAATGATATATCTCCCTTGTAGTAAATTATAAATTGTTGAAACTTTAGTATCTTATGCTTCGAGAGTAGGTCAATATTATCATAAAGTTTCAAGTCTTTAACTTTTATTACAGGGGAGATATAGAAGTTTATATTTTAAGTTTGATTAGCATTCATGTCCTAAATTAATGATTTATGCATTCAAATTTGCGCTTTACAAATTCTAGGGTTTGAAATGTTCTTTTAGCAAAATAAAACATACTACAAGATGCAGCGTGAAAAGCTCTACAATCTATATAGTAAAGTATAATTTTACTATATAGTTTTTGGTACTAAAAGATCCCAAAGCTCTTTGGAGTCAGTTTTGTTTTTTGTCTAAAAACATCGGTTTTCACTGTATCAACAAAAAAATTTATTGTTTTTTCAACTATTTTTCATCTAAGATATCTTTCTACCAGAAATAAAATATGTCACAAGATGCAGCGTCAAAAGCTGTACAACTTACAAAGAAAAGTTTCTTACTCTTGTGTAGTTTTAGTTTTCAGAAACGAATAAAACGTTGTTCGATTAGGGTCTTCGCACAGCAAAAGTTCATCACACGAAGTTTAGTTTATTTTGCGAGAGCAACAACTACCTAACTAAAATATGCTTTACTACGTGGATTGTAGAGCTTTTCACGCTGCATCGCGTGGTATTTTCTGCATTTTTATAGAATGTATCGTGTCGTAAAAAACTAGGATACAAAAGTTAGTCATTTACATATAACATATGTAAATTATAAATTTAGGATTTGGAGGAAATCAAACTTAAAATATAAACTTCTATATCTCCCCTGTAATAAAAGTTAAAGACTTGAAACTTTATGATAATATTGACCTACTCTCGAAGCATAAGATACTAAAGTTTCAACAATTTATAATTTACTACAAGGGAGATATATCATTTTTTCTGAGAACTACCAAGACTTTTGGCTCACCCTTTAGAAGACAATGAATTCTTCAAAAAAACTTATCTTCAACAATATTACTCGTAATTATCAATCTTTCATTCTAGTATGACAATGGTAGAATAATAACACGCGAAATTAGTATATCGCTACTACTCATAACATCTATTTTACTACTATATATGATAGTATTTCTTTTGTCTGTTCGAGAAATCAATTTGAAGTGAGAACAAAGAGATAATTTATAATTTATACTTTTCCCTTAACAAAGGTAGTCCGTTTTACACTAGTATACACTTAATTATTTTCTATCACATTAAAATTACTAGTGCAAGGTTTTCTAAAATATAAAAAAAACTTGAAATACTTACACTCATTTACATCGTTACAGCAATCGCACAATCCAGTTGACCATTCTACGGTTGGTTCGAAAAATGGATTATTTCCAGTCATTCGAGCTACTGGTTGACTTGTTGTAAAATATGTTATATCAGTCATGGAAATTTTTGCTGGTCACTTACGAATGTTTAAGTGACTTATTCTAGACACAATTGGATAGAAAAATAGATTTAAACAAATTGATTCTACAGATAAATAAATTCGAAAAATGTTCTTACTGCATTATTTACTTTCTACCAGTGTAAAATATGAATTTTATGCCCGTCAAATAATTTTATTCACTCTTATATTTTTTTTCTCATTAAGTTGGTTTTTCAATTTTTATGTTATATTTTACCATGATATTTCTCTATTCTTTCTTTGAGAAGGAAAATATATAACTGATAAATAGTTTTTTTCAATCCTACCTTATAGGAGAAGATGTTGTTGGATAATGCGTTATGAGTAAAATAATATTTTTCTCATCTATATATATATATTCGAGAATATTCCGGGAAAAAAATCAGTATTTCTTTCTTGGAAAAAATGTAGCGTAGGAACGAAAAATATATAAATGACGACGACTGTTTTTCTATTAATATAATTAGAAAAAAAAATAGTGTTAGAAATAATTTTGTCGAGTTGCTTTTTATATCCATAATGACAGACATTACTACGTGAAAGAAAAAAAGAAATAAGGTGTATATATATATATTACCACTCATTTCTCATTTATTTTTGAAGAGAATGGACCTTTAAAATATATTTATTACAATGGAAAACTACATTTTCTTGAGGATGTGGGTGTGGGTGGATGTAGATATACCATCTCTTAAATCGCACTCATATTCATTCACAGTCGCACTCACACCCTTATATATGCGTATTTATTCGATGGAGACATGTGCTGAAATTTTTCTTCAAATACTTTGACATTTTTTAATTCATTTTCTATTTTTAAAGGTGAGATAATTGGGTAAGTAGTATGATAAAGATATATCACTAATACGATTGTTTTCATAGTTTCTCAAGTATTTATTGGAAATGTTTATATATAATCATATTCGTTTTTTTCTACGTTTTGAAATCCGGTTTTATGCAATGGCTTTGAATGTAGATGATGAAATTAGTTCGATTATATATGATGGGTGCGGATGTCTTCTTCTTCCATATACCCACACCCTCTTTTCCATACTCTCTAGTGTATTTGTAGGACGTGACTGTGAACCATCAATTAATGAAATAAATATTTATTAGAATTTCAAAACATAATAAAGAGATATGATGTTTTATAATAAACAATAAGAATGTTTGCCAAAATTTGAATTTGACTAATAATATTTAATAAACGCGTCGATTATCAATAAATAACGATGGTAGTTTGAAAAATTGTTTAAACGTTCGCCATCTAATTCGGAAAAGATGCATCCGACTTTGAAAAAAGACATAAATAAATGAAAATATGTAAGCAACTAGCTATCAAATAATCGGTCAAATCAATAGGTAGAACAGTAGATAGGATTTGTTGAAAAATCATAAGGAAAAAATAATATAAAAATAGAAAGATATGTAATAATTTTAAATTTTAAAAGTATTTTGCAAGAATTCACATGGCCTTAATTTACGATAAACATTTTGAATACGAATAATATATGGATGATGAGAAAATTTATAATCTAATTGATACCAGTAGTATCCTCGTCGTGGTGGAAAATGAATAGTCCACCAAAATTTTCGTGTCTAAATTAAAAATTTAGATCAATTCAAATAAATATATCAAAGAATTAAGCTATTTTCCAATCCAAAGCTTAATTTCATACAAGGAACTATCTGTTAATAAACGAGCAAATCTACATGTAAAAGTTCCGTTTGTTAATCGTCGAACTTCACGAATAAATAATTCTGGTTTAAAAAACAATTTCTCATCCATATTAGTAAATGAACATTTAATAATAAATGATGCATTTAATGAATATTCTTGTGGGTGTGGGTAGATGACGGATAAGACTCTTGCTTACTCAGACATTCTCACCCACACCCACACCCACACCCCACACTCTAGAAAAAGAAAAACAAATCGATGTTATAGAATTTATTTATATTGATTTATTTGTAAAAACTCCATAGTGCAACTATAAATTAAAATAAAAATTAAATTCAAAACAGATACGAACAGAGAAAAGAAATGAATACAAAAATAATTTTTTTCATACTGCCTAAAAAGGCTGAGCTAGCAGCGCCGTGTGTTGTTACCGATGTTGTTGATGTCGTTGACATGGTAGAGGCCGGTGTGGTGGTGGTCGTGGTAGTGATAGTAGTCGTTGTTATTGGTATTGTCACGTTAAATGGTAAAGCATATTTTTGTGAAATCACTTGAACCACACTTAAAGCTGAATTTTGTGATGCACATTCAGGTGTATTGCAGGTATACAGCAGAATGTCACCTACCTTAGCTTGATCTAATGCTTCAAGCCAATTAAGAATTGGCTGTTCTGTCGAATTTGCACATGCACTCCTGATTGCGGGATGTGCAGTATCTGACCAATATTGGAAATCTGTTTGGCAAAATCCTTTACCTGAACATGGTTGATTATTTGTGCAAGTATCATTAGGTCGTAGATCGGTCGAATTAAAGAGGTTATCAGCTAAATCACTTCTTAAAATTTTTACTTCAGTTTGAACTTCGGTCCAATTACTATTTAAAACATTTTTAGCAAATAATAAATCACATTCATCTGATGTGAAACAATCAAACTCGATTCTTAGAGTCACTGATTCATTATAAAGTGAGAAAGCAGTTAATCCAGCGAAATTAGCAGATTTTGGTAGTTTTGTAGCATTAAATTGTCCAGTAACCGCACCAGTGATATAATCAATATCTAATAAAACTCGGCAACTTTGTTCACTTGCAGGTTTATCGGTAGTATTACAAGATGGTAATACTATATGTTCGAGATTACTGGAATAATCACAATTAGTGGCACACACCAGACCATCGGCAAGTTGAGTCGATATTGAAGACAATAAGATGAAGACGATGAAATACAACATTGAAGATAAATGTAAAAATGATCTTCTGTTTGTTTTCTTTCTATTTTATTATATGCGATATCTTATCTATTTATGTAAGTTACATTCTTTTCTACACATAGATATATGACTAGATGAGTAAAACAAATTGCGTTACTAAAGAAGAGATACAAAAATTGCATTCTGTTGTTGTTATTGTCAATAAGACATTATCAAATAAGTTTTGTTTCTAATGACATTTATTTGACAAAAATCATATTTTAAAAGAAGAGTTTAAGGAAAATGTAGTCATGTAACAGTTTTTACCTGCTGATTTAAACTAAAAAATAGATTTTAATGAAATTTCAGGTTATTAGTTGATATATCATGTTTTATAAAACAAACAATGAAATAGGTTTTACTTTAGTAAGAAAAATTTTGTGATTTTTGTGTTCATTTTTGAAAAGAAAATATCATCAACTACGAGAAGTCAATGATTGATAGGCTGACAAATGATACATATTTGCCCAAACATTTTGAAAGACAAACAGATGCATAAAAACGAAAAACAATTTGAAGGGATGTTGCAATTGCAGTAATAATAGATAATGTAATAACATAATAAAAAGCTAATTGAAATGGATTAGCTTCATGTTTAATTGTTATTGTTGCTTTTTCAAACCAAAGACTCAAACTCAGTCTAAGCAGTAGAGTAATCATATCACATACTGAATAATTATATTTATTCGTTCTTCTCAATCGTTTACGTAATGCAAGAAAGATGAATAATGCATAAACAGTACCTTCGATAAATTCTAAAAAAGATAATCTCATTCTAACTGCAAAGTATAAACTTGATTAGAATTTCGTCTAGGAATTTAACTCTGATATGTATTTTACCTAAAATAATAATTGCTAATTTAACTTATGCGACCCATGTTGATGAACCTAAATAACCAAAAATAGCGAAAGCACTAAAAATTGAATAGGATGTGGATGTGGGAGTAGGGGTTGGGATGAGTGTCTACTCATTCTGTTCACACCCACCCTCAAGATGGTCTACAGAACCTTAGTTTCAGTTTAACGAAAAGATTTAATATGAAATCTCTGTTTTTACGAAACCACAAATGGATCATCGCGTGTACTGTGAATACCTTTTTTGAGATACACGGTGTAGGAGAAATCAAGTCATGTTGTTATAATAAAGGCTTCAAAGGCCATCGTTGATAGAAATTTTATTAATAATAAGAAAGAAAGGTGTAAATGGTAACATATTTTTGCTTACTTATCGATTCTTTCAATCAATACGAGCACTTTTGTTTCTATATTTTAAATAAAACGAATTCTGAACCATCCTCATCAGTTATTACAAAAAAATACAAAAAACTCGTCTCGAACTAAAAAGACAATAAAACGAAATAATCACTCTCTTGAAAAGAATAGTAAGAAAAAAAATCAATCTCGAAAAAGATTAAAAAACTATATCAATAATTGCTTTTCTTGTTTAACAATAATATCAATTTCATTCATTTAACTACTTCATATTTATATCAAAATAAGTATTTCTTTAAATCTCAGGATTAAATTACCAAGATCACGTTTTCATTGTTGTATAAAAGGATGCTCCGAGTTTATAAAATTACTTATTTCGAAACGAATAAACTTACATTATTACAATACAGACAAGTCAAATTATAAATGGATCGATTTATTATCGTGTCTTTGATGCTTTTGATTCTTGGCTCAGTACTATGCGAGGTAAAGTTTTTTTCTTAATCGAATATCTTAACATCTGAAATATTTTCCTTTTCATATGATTAGGGTGGTGAAGCTATGTGTCGTCAAAGAACTGCTGCTCACACGTGTGCATCAATGGATTGTTCACCATTTGTGTATGTCCGCGCTCATCAAAACTATCCATGCGACTGCTTTAAAGTCGAAAGACTTCCACATAAAACAAAAGTATGGTATCATATTGAAACATCGAAGGGAAAGTATGGCTATGTACTCGATGATCACTGTTGGGCCTCAGTTCCAGAGTGTAAAAGTTAATGTCTACTATCTTGCCATCATTAACATTTGTTGTCGAGTTCTTTCATCCTATTTGTTAATGTGGATATTGTGTGCATGGTATTTATTTTCTTTTAAATAAAAAAGCTATTTGGCCATGCCTATACGATTTACGCATATTTTTAATAATCATATTGTACTAGCGAGAGTACCCACTGTAGGTCGGAAAAATGTGATAGTACATATTTGGCAGATGAGAAAACGGGTGGGGGTTTGAAGTATGGGTGCGACTGATTTTCGTCAACATGCACAACCACTCATACCGGCATCACATTCACACCCTCACTTACCCATTCACGCTTTCACTCTCATCCACCTATCCACCCACACCATCGAGATGGTTGGATGTTTATTATTTGAACCAATGCTTCGTTTTTTTCTACATATGAGTAATTGGCTTAATACTTGTGTAGGTATTGATAGAGCAATGGCAGTTTTTCAAGGAACTAACTTTAATAAGAAAAGAAGTCGATGTATTGCACGATGGATTATTTGTCTTTTACCATTTCTTATTTTAAGTTCAATGATTTATGAATTTATTAATCGCGATTTGTTTGATGATTATGAAGAACGACGTGTTTGGTGTGTAGTTCGTTATTCTAAATCAATTGAACTATATACGAATATCGTTCAATATTTTCATTTTATTGCTCCGTTTTTAGCGAATTTAATTTCAGCTATTTTTATTATTGTATATATAACTCGTCTAAAAACGACTGTTCAATCTCAATTCAGTTCTCAACAACAATTACTCAATCAAATCAACCAGCACAAACAACTTGTTATCAGTCCTATTATCTTAGCCATTCTATTATTTCCTCGTTTTCTCTTTTCATTATTATCAACATGTATTAAATCATCTCAAAATCCTTGGTTGTATCTTTGCGGTTATTTTGTTTCATTCATTCCATCATCTTTTATCTTCGTCATATTTGTTTTACCATCGACTTTCTATAGGAAAGAATTCATAAAAACAATTACTACTTGGCGGCAACGATTTATGAGAGCTATTAGAGCTTGGCATTAAATAGAAATATTGACTATAATTTTATATCCACATTCGCATATACACTCATGTCTTCGACTGTATGTCAATGTAATTTATTGTATTTGATCGTATGCATATGAGAAAAACGATTTTTAAATATTGTAAAATGTCTTAATCTATATGTCGCTTTTAATGTGCAGTTAAGGTATGACTTTAAATAAATATTAAACAAAGTAGCCTCAACACACGATGGTGATATATGAAAAAATCCTTTTCGAGTTTCAGATATAGACTAAATGTCTTAGAAATTAAGCACGCTTTCTTTAATACACGACACATTAGATTTTTACTAGTGTTTCTATTTATCGTCAGCTTTTGTATGAGGAACAGGATCAGCAAAAGTGTTGATATTACTGTCCTTGTACAGCTTGATGAACTCTATCGAACCGTATAAAAAACTGTGTTTCTACTTTCAAGAAGATAGTTTAATCTTGAGAGTGGGTGAGTATGTTTTAGTTTTTCTTTGTCTTCTTTACGCATCCATACTCACATTTTCACATCTACACTGTCAAGATGGTTTAGTTGATTATCATTTTGTCATAAAGACTTGCTTTAGAGTAAAATCAAGGTACTCGTAATAATAGTTTTATTAAAGAATTTATAAGTACATGGTTTCAATTCGAAGGATAAATTATATATTGCAATCGATAGAAAAAATGTCATTTAGTTTATGGCAATGGAAACAGTTCTGCATTATTCAGGTACATATTATTACCCTCCTCACCACCAGTAATTAACAATATTCCATTTGTGAGTATGGTAGCTGTATGCTGCCATCGTCCAATATTCATTTTAGTACTAATTGTCCACATTCCTGTTAATGGATCATATAATTCAGTAGTTTTTAGAAAACTACCATTCGATCCACCAGTAACTAATACTTTTCCGTTGGATAATAATGATGCTGTATGACACTGCCGTGCAAAATTCATGCTACCTGTATGTGTCCAATTACCGGTTGATGGATCATATAATTCAGCACTTTTTAGATAGCCACCATTAAATCCACCAGCAACTAACACTTTCCCATTCATTAATCTAGATAATGTACTACCCTGCCGTGTATCACTCATACTACCAGTAATTGTCCAGAATCCTATCGATGGATCATACAATTCAGCACTATTTAAAGAACTACCATCAAGTCCACCCGCAACTAACACTTGTCCATCTGTTAATAAAGATGTTGCATGATTAACACGATTATAATGCATGTTTCCTGTACGTGTCCAGATTCCTGTTGATGAATCATATAATTCAGCAGTGTTAAGAAAACCACTACCACCATCTCCACCACTGATTAACACTTTTCCATTTGTTAATATAGTTGCTGTGTGAGCACCTCGTAGACCATGCATGTTTCCCGTAACTGTCCAACTATCTGTTGATGGATTATACAATGCAGCAGTATTTAAAAAACCTTTATCTTTGATTCCTCCAGCAACTAACACAGTCCCATCTGTGAATACAGATGTAGTGTGTTCCTGTCTTCCAGTGCTCATGCTAGTAATAATTGTCCAGATTCCTGTTGATGGATCGTACAATTCAACACTATTTAGAGAAATACCATTATATCCACCAATAACTAGCACTTTTCCATTTGTTAATATAGATGCCGTGTGAAATTTTCGTGCAAAATTCATGTTTCCTGTCATTGTCCATTCTAGATAAGGGAGAAAAGTAAGATTAAAAAGTATTGCTCATAGAAGAACTCTGACTCTCTCATGCGAATATGTTATCTATGTAACCCTCAGTGAACTTGTTTTTCCTTTCGTGAATAAGATAAGATCCATTAAGATATTTTAAATCAATTTAAAGAAATAATGACATTAAGCTCTATCGATTCTAGATTGATGTCATCAAAAACTTAAGATTAAGTGTTAGCAGGCATCTCTCATGTCGATATTATATCAAATAGTACTTCGACGTTTAAGATCATACCGATAAATCAAATAAAAATCGATTATCGTATGAGGAAATATAGATTAAAACTCGACTATCTTAATAAAATTAAAATCTGCCCTTTCAGTTGTAAAAGTAAATATCACTCTTTTCCTCATATAATCTTAATTTGATGCTTCGCAAATTATTTTCTTTTATATCTCATCCATCGTGCAACTGATATCTTCGGATGATACTCTTGAATAGGGCGTGCATACTCAATATTTGGCTCAGTAGAGATCGAACCAAGGCATCAGAAATGGATCCTATTTCGATTTCTGAGAGAAAATGTTCCCTAACGTTGTTTGGTTAGATGACGAACATTCGATATCTAAAATCGAAACTTTTCGATGTCTTTACTTGTAGTAATTATCCTTTGAGCAACCACAAATCATTCAACAAATTACTTACGCGGTGTTGGCGTTGTTGTTGATATTGATGCTGTAGTTGATGCGGTGGTTGCTATCGATGTTATATTTGATGTCGTAGTTGATGTTGTATTTGATGTTGTAGTTACTGTTGTGGTTGATGTTGTGGTTGATGTTGATGTTGATGTTGATGTTGATGTTGATGTTGATGTTGTTGTCGTGGTTGATGTTGTAGTTGATGTTATGGTTGATGTTATAGTTGATTCTAATTTTTAGAAATGAGCTTAGAATAAGATCAAACGATTGGATAAAGTTTTATTCCTAATTTCTTACTTCTTCTCTAACCATGTGTGGACTGTAAATACGAGTGCATTATAATAAAATAACAAATTCTAAGATGGTTTGCAATTTTGAGGATGAGTGTGGGTGTGAATGGTTCTCTTCTCTTTACACACACTCTCGCCCATCCACACCCTCAAGATATTTTATATGTATATACATATAGATATATATTTCTTACTTGACTTCATGTAGCTCAACCCAACCCAATTCGAGATTAGACTTCAACTTCATTTCTATCTTTTTTTGAATTAGAAGAGTTTTTTATGATTATCTTTAAAAGTATTTAATTAAATTTACAGAAAATTTCTTGCGTAGTCATTTTATTTGAATTTTCTGAAAATCTGAATTTATCATCCAATAGATATACTAGGTAGTATAGGTCCTGATCTCTTCTATCACCAGCAGAAGTATTAGAGTGATTACTTGTTGCCGCATAAAATGTGAGGGATCAACATTTTAGTAGGAAAACACAGAAAAACGAGTAAGATCCATTTTATTAATGATATTTTAGAGGTTCATATCAAAAAGTTACCTTTATTAAAGGATATTTCGCCAATAATCACGGGAAAATCAAAGAAAACAGATACTGACAAATATCAAAAATTCCGCTCGTGTTGTATTTATTTGTGTAGGAAGGAGTGATCCAGTCGAACTGATAATTTCAGTTAATACTAACATCACTACTATCTATAACATACAAAAACTATTAAGCGAAACCTGAGATGTCGAATTATCACTGATATCTGATTTTCTCAGAGACTTATTCTTATCAAACATTCTTCTACATGCTAAAAATTCCATTATGGATCTCAGAAATTGTTTTTGATATTATTGCTTAGAAGTATCATGTATAAATTGTTATGATAAATAATGCAGTTCTACTTCTGTCATTTCAGCTACCTGTTGTTACTTCTATTTTTTCTGTTGTATCAATTGTTGTTTCTTCTGCTGTTGATATTTGTTCACTCTTTGTCTTTTTTGTTTTACAGATAACAATCGAAATTGTTATAGTTATAACAAGTACAATAATAATAAATGTGATGCACATCACTTTTCTTCTTTTCAAATATTCACATCTAGAATAATAAATCTTTTTTATTATTGTCTACAATTCATAACATACATACAATTTTTTTGGTCGAGTTGCATTCGAAGTAATTGTTTCAAACTGAAATAATCAAAAAAACAACAAACATTATATTTTATGATTTTTCTTTTTCTCAATAAATTACATCATTATCAATTCCTATTCTGTTGTTCATTGTCGATATCTTGTTGAAAGTTTATTACTTTTACAATCTAAAATCAACAAAAAAAACTTTTTCATTAATTAATAATATAATTACAAAGAAGCTAAACTGTTTGAATCTACATTTGAAGCAATATGTAATATTCCTTACTGACAAATCTTAGAAGTTTTTCATTCCAATTTCAACTAAAAAATAGAAAAAATATATTTACCATGCTCTCTCTTTCTCTCTCTTAAATAATCAGTTCTTTTTTTTTGACGTAGATTATCGTGTTAATGTAAAACATCATATATCAATAAAAACAATCAGCTCACTTCCTTTTTCAGTGTTGATTTTTAAAAACGAACTCTTATCAGATAGAGTTGTTATTTCATATAAATATGAAACTATTTGAGACAACATCTGGTGTAATTATTATTTAATAAAACATTGCAAATCAGCGCTGTTCAAAGGATATGCAACATTTGCTCACAGAGAAAAAAAATAATCTACTATACACAAAGGTTCTTCTAAAATAATTGAGAATTAGACAATATTTATGGTTAAAAATGGGTTATTATTTCGCAGAATAGATAAATGATTTACTTGGAAGTCGAAATAGAATATTCGAGAAAACACAAATAATTAGTACTTAATCTTCTCTTAGTTATCGTCTATTAGATATGGCTAGTTAATACAGAGAACTATAACTATGATTTTAATCACAACCATAGCCGTAAAATATGTAGATTCTTTGAATAATTATATTTAGATGTGACTGTCGGTGACTCTGGATATTATATTTATCTCTCGATACTACGAAGAGCTATTTATGTTCTTTTAATCATTTTTCTTACTGGAGAAATTAATTTGTGATTGAATATTTATGTAGAGAAAATGAACATGAAGGAAACAGCAGTAATATCAATACTGAATTATTTTATCGACAAAATATCTTTTCAACAATAATTTGATATTTAACAAGATAAGTATAGCTAAACTTTGTAGACATCCAAATAAATGAAAAATAATAAAATATTTTGTTCAAATATATTTTTTTTCTGTCAGGAAACGTCGCATTTCCTTCAAAAAGTGCTGATTTTCAATGTTTTTCTTTCTATAAAAATAATTATATTAATTATATTGTTGGAATTAATTTATTTTCGCATACTACCTCGTAGATTTCGACATTTACAATAGATAACATTTTATTAAAAACTAACCTTGTTATTTTCATTGATATATGATGTTTTTCATAAAAACGCTTGTATACAGTAAGTATCAGAATCCTTCACTTATTATTATTTTAATTTTATATCAAACAAATACATAAAAACAAAGTGAAAAATATTATTTGAGAATCCATTTCTTGACATTTAACAATTTAAAAAATGTTGCATATAGTGAATGATTCGAATAAATATAATTATAAAACTACGAAATGAATAAAAACGAGAAGAACTTCATTTAATTTCTAATGATTAATTTTGAATAAAAACAACTTGTTTCTTTCTAGTTACATTCTCCAATAATTAACTTGAATGATAAAAAAACTCTTCAATATATTATTGAAAACTGAACATCAAGTTTATTTTTTTTTCTGTATTCGCTTACATGATGATGTCTATGGGAACTTTTTTTTTGGTTGAAATATTTGCAACAAATACAACATGTGAAATTATCAATAGATAAAAACAATGAATCTGTTTCCTTTTTCAAAACTGATATGAAATGTTAGGGATTATTTGTTGTAAATATAAAAAAATGTTCATGATATTGAAATGTTTGTAGGAAGGATGTGAAAACAAAGTGTTTCAAACAAAATTTAATGTTATTTTTGTTAAGAATACATCCAGAATCATGCTTTTATGGAGAAAGTACAACGCTTCCTGAAGAATAAAATAAAACTTTTTTTAAATTTTGTAATGAGTTGAAAGAGAAAGTATATCGATATTATATATTATTAGAAATGTGTTGTACAATTGGTTTTATTCTTATTTCATACGGTAGACCAATGATAAAAATTTAGTTGTTTATCTTGAGGGTATGGGTGGAATAGTGTACGATGACATCCACATCTTGAAGAAATTAGTCTTTTTTGCTTTCGCATTAAAAAACTAGAAGTAATTCTTAAAAACTTCAGTTATGAAGAGTTATAGCGCTTTATTTTTTTGAAAAGAAAAAACAGAATTAATATTCGGCAAAAAAATAAAAGTGTTTTATAAACGAATAAGAGAATACGATGGTTCTGCATTGTCTGAATGTGAACTTGTCACTTTCGAAGCTCCGAAGATCGTGGTTCTTCGAGGATTAGTCCAGGCATGAAAGCGATAGGTGAAAAGTAGAAAGTCGTTTCGATGTACTTCAATGCGCTCGATCAACCAATCATCGCCACCACCTTTATAATAACCGCGCTTGTGACCGATTATAAGCATGCTTAATGAATCATTGGTTTTGGCAAAATCTTGCGGACAACAAAGCGCATATTTGTCTATAGAGTTCCTCTCGTGATCATCGCCATCATTATTCAAATCATCAGCTGTACACACGAAACCTTGAGAGTCACGAAGAAGAAGGTGAATTCCATCATTAGTGCCAGCGAGAAATTTAGAGCCTGTTTCGATAGTAACATCAATACGTTTAGGTTTATTTAATAATTCACATTCGAAGTCATTTAAAGGTTCCGTTCCTTCGGCTTGAATAAAGGATGTTGAGCTAAGCAAAACACATAGACATAAGAAAAGCGAAAGCATGTTGATGCCAAACAACGTTTTTGTAATATGAATGAAACAATTAAAATAAAATTGTAACGAAAAGGTCTTCTTTTTTTTTCTTATCTGTTTTATGCAACAAGTTTAGAGTTACATATTAAGCTTGAAGGTTGAAATAAATGATGAAATGTGAATACTGGCATGATAATACAATAATATTTACTTGGGCCTTGACGATAATTCTACGGATGTATAGCGATCATCGCTTCTAGTTGTTATCAATTATTAAAAGGAGCTAATGAAAATACTGTGCTTGTTTTATAGTACAAATTATTTATTGACGTCACCAATAAACAATCGACTTTTCACGTTTGACGGGTGGGTGTGGATCTGATAATAATGCAATTCCAACACACCGACACTCTAGACGTTTATCTTAATACTGATGTCATCCAAAATGAGCGCATCCTATGAAGTCGCATACAGCAGTCACTTATTTTAATGTTCTTTCACTATCATTTTTTGTTTATATAAGAATACATCGTACCATAAATCATTCATCTTCAGGAAAGGAATAACTATATTCCGAAAGTATGACTCTCATAAAAATACATTTAATCATATCATGGAGCGGCGAACGTCCAGACGAAACTAGAGCATCTGAAAAGGTAAATCACGTTAAGGGTACGAGTATAATCACTATATCTCTCTTTTAACCACACCTAAACCTTCAAGATAGTTTTGTCCTTGCTTAAAGAATTTATCAGTGGGATTTAGTTTATTATTGTGTTTGATACCAAAATCGAAATCTATCAAAGGACACATCACATGAATATCAACGACTACCAAAAGTTCTGACACTTTTAATATCCATACTCATATTGTCTTTTACATGTAAATATAAAATGTTTCTTATATATATATTTTAGCCACCGAGTTCGAGTTCAATTTCTACAGGTTCATCATGCGTTATTCGTTTCACATCAAAGCCAGTATTTGGAAAGATTAGAACTTCTTCTTCTTCCGGAAACTGAGAAATTGATTGAATATCAAAAAACGCTTCCCAGTTTAAGCTTTCATAAATGCACATGACACCTATTTTGTCAGGTGGTGTACGAGAAAGAAATCTTTGAGCAACTTCACGGTTTTTTGACGTCGAAAGAAACGATTTGTTCATAATGCAATAACCTTCTTTATACTGACACAGATCTTCTTTCTTAATGTGCATTCCTCGATAACATTTGCCCTTCCATAGAAAATTTTTGATCGAGTCACTATTGCGCAGTGTATTAGCAAACACGACGTACCATTTTGATAATGTGGCCTCTGAATATGTTTCCCATGTATCTGCACTAAGATAGTTAAGTATACGATAAAAGTCCGTTTCTGCTGTGTAAAGTCGAAGAAGCCAAATTGCATCTTGTGTCTCACGAAGCTTCTCCAGATGATACTGTATTTGTTCTTTTCCTTTTGCATACTGTAACTCTTCAGCTTTACTAAGCTCTTGAAATGCAGTGTCCACATCCCAATAATGTTTGTTTAGTATCTTCCTTGTGTGCCATACCGTGCTGGAGATTTCTTCGTCAACTATATTCCATTCAACATCTTGTGTTTCGGTAACATAACGTGCGGTTGCTTCATGAAATGGACGATTGAAGAGCACCTTAATTTGCATAGTAGCTGCCTCATCAGCCGCAGTCTTACCGTATTTATTTTTCAGCGAACGAGATGCTCCTTTATCAAGAAGTTGCTTGACAATTTCAGCATGACCATAGCACGAAGCACAATGAAGCGCCGTGCTACCGTTTGGCTCAAACTGATTGATCTCGTCTAATGATAATGTTGAAAGAAGTTCTTCCACAGTCTTTATGTCTCCAGTACGGCAAGCTCGGTAGAATTTACTTGTCTTCATTCCTATTACGAGTTTGATGGCAACTAAAAAAAAAAGAATGAGCTGAAACTCGTCATGAAAATAACATTATATTTGTTTTGCATTATCGATCGTCATCTTTTCTTCAAACAAATAATTTTTTTTTTCTTCTAGAGTTTATGTGATTTTTTTGTTGATTTTGAGTCATATTATAAGAATGAATGGTTTCCATAGCCTTTATAGAAACCATTTTGAGGGTGTGAGTATCAGAGTAAGGTTAATGTAATGCTCACATCCACACCCGCATATTTAAAAGCTTATATGAAAATTTTTAAGTATGAATAAAACCTCTTGATATATTTGGAAAATACAGTTTTTATTGAAGGTATTGACTGTATCTGATTAGATGTACGTGTTTCATTGATGTGAGACAGTCGCCTAACACATTTTCGTTCTTTTTTCTTTCTGTATGAAATTAACGATAACATTTGCCACGTGTATTACAAAAATAATTATTAACTACGAGAATTTCTCCATGTTTTACTTGCTCGTTTTCGTCTTACGATGAAATTTGGATGATCAATGCGTTAGTGATCACTGCAATAGAAATAAGATAGAAATTTCTCTTCAGACTGTTTCATTCGTTGCAAGTCGTTAGGTATGCAATCGAAGAAAACATTACAAACATGCTTCTCTAAATGATTGGGTTTTATTTTCCTCTTTGGAGAGATGAAGGAGCGGTCTACGTATCAATGTGTACTACAGATAAAAAAGAATGTGAGTGTGGGTATAGATAAAACTTTGATTAAGAATCATTTTTTCGACGTGGATTTTGATTTTTTTAATTAAAAAATAAAAATCTAGTTGATGAAAGATCGATTGATAAAATATATATCTTTGAGGGTGTAGGGTGAGATTATCGATATTTTTAATTCAATTGAAAATGTGGAAAGCATATTTCTACTTTCTATTCAACAATCATCATGTTTGTTAAAGAATATATGCAATCTCTTTGCGCTTGATTATTCCATCCAACGAAAAAAAAAATCAATGTTATTCTCATTCTTCGATGTGATGGCGCATAGAAATTAGTAGATTATGGATGCCTTGGAAGTTATTGATTATATACAAACAATCGAACATCTAGAAAAAGCGAAATGAAATATAATATATATGGATTCTTATTGAGTTCAAAAAAAATCAATTAAATTTTCTTCATTCTGTGTTATGAATGCACTAAAATGCACATTGTATATATCAATAAATACTTTTCCAAAACAATGAAGAACAAAAGAATTGCTTCTAATTCATCAGTTTCGATATTTTTGCATCTTTTGTTAACTCATGTCCTACATTTGGAAAAAAATGTTGATAATTGTCAAAGAATGATTTTTTTATGAATAAGAAAATAGTTCTCAAAAAAGTGCAATTTATCTCGTGCAATGAAAACCTAAACAGGCTTCCTTTCTTTTTATGTAAATGAATGAACACGAAGAAATGCATCTAATATACATTTGACGAACGAACAATTGCATTTCTTTTTTATTATAATAAATTTCATGATGGCGTTGCTGAAAATGAGTTGCATATTTGTTCTCATCTTGCTGAATTGTTTGGCATGGATTGTCCATGGGAGTCATTTTCTTGGTGGAACAATTACATGGCGTCTCTTGAATCAATCAGCTACAGGAACGCCTGTTGCTGTTGTCATCACACAAACTTATTCGTGGTCATATTCTCTGATAACATGTACTAATGCTATGATTAGTAGTAATCAATTGATTCCTACTAGTTCATATCCATTACTTCTGACGGCCACACTCAATTGTATCGCTAATTGTACTAGTGGCGCAATTGGTTACGTGGCTCCTAACATCAGACCTCGATGCACAAATATCTCGCCTTCGCTTGGAATCACTGTTGGACAACGTTCTGACACTGTCTCTATAGAAGCAGGTAGCGATTTTTCCGTTGCCTATCAGGACACTGCCTGGCGACCTTTAGCATCAAGTGCTAGTGCAGCTTGGTCTGTTTCATCACGTATCCAGCTAACAATAAGACCTGACAATAGTCTCTATAACAATGCTCCTACTGCTTCTCTCATGTCTCCCATTAATATTCCTTATAATCAATCAACAGCTATTTATATACCTGTGGCCGATGCCGATGGAGACATTACTCGTTGTCGATGGTCGACATCCTTGAATGGAGTTAATGAATGTGGAGGTGTTTGTCCACCTGGCTCATTACCAGCTAATACCATGATCTATCCTAACTGTACTATCATAATCATAGATCAGACTATTGGAGATTGGTTCGCTATTACTCTGATGGTTAGTCATATCGTTTCTCCTCTTCTCTATAATCAAAATTGTTTTCATTTATAGGTCGAAGACTTTATCAATTCATCTAGTATCGATCCTCTAAGTTCGGTACCTGTTCAGTTTCTTGTTCAAGTCGTTAGCCCACCAGGATGTACCATTGCACCTGAAATTATTGGAATACCACTTGAACAAGCGTGTATTCCACTAAGTGTCGGTCAAACATTCAATTCAGAACTTATGGCAGTCAATAACTGTGGATTAAGTGTGACGATTGTCGATATTGCAACACTCTCATTTAGTGGAATGATCCAAGGAAACATTGCTCAATTAAATACAACAATCTACTACAAGACTCTTTCATGGATACCGACCACTGCTCAAATCGGCTTTCAAGTGATGTGTGCTATGGCTTTAGATAGGTAACCAAGTGTCAATCATAGATTGACAAATTTCTTAAAATCTGATTATTTTTAGTCAAAACGCTCAATCTGCTCAGTATTGTTTCAAATTCTATGTATCAGAAACTTCTGCTTGTGCTTGTCCTGGGGAGACCTGCATCACTACTACCACAACGTGAGTGTCTTAAGATCGTTCATTCTATATTTAGTAGATTGATATTTTGTTTTCAGACAAACAACAAGTACTACAACATCCACTACTAGGTGATGAACATAAGATAAGCATCAGTACTCGCTACAATTGAGTATCAGCAGTTGATTATTTCTTTTTTATTCGACTTAAGGAAGTTAAGGGATTAACTGGTTTTACTTGCCACTTAATATGAAGTTTCAGTTTTTCCTACTGTTTGGCCTGAAACTTTCAGGGATGAGTAGCTTTCGTCAGAAATGTTTTTGGTAAAAATTCGTTTTTTATGAGCATTTTAATATACATAAACCGAAAATCATTATGAAAAACGGTAATCTGAAGGGTACTTTATCCACCCATATCTGATGGAGACATATGAGCAAGCGCTTGTTAGAATGTTTATTATAATTATTCTCTTTAGCATTTCAACAACGTCAACATCGACGACATCCATGTATGTTTGTTTATATTCTTGTTATTTAAGAAAAAAATAATACATGTTGGATATCTAGATCAACAAGCAGTACTACTTCAACAACGAGTATTACGTAAGTCCCCATTGATAGATTTGTATATTGAATATTCGATATGCGTGCTGGAATAGAACCGCTTCTACAAACACAACCTCAATAGTTACAACCGTATCCAATGATAAGTCAATGTCCAACCTAAAACTGCCACTTGGATTAGGTCTTGGCATTCCATTATTACTGCTTCTTGGTACCTTGGCTCTCTGTCTTTGCTTGAGATGTTGTCCATTATATTTCGGGTATGTAAATAAAGATATCTGCCTTGACGTTTGCCACGAAAATCCTTTTATTTCATCAGTAAAACACCTGAACAAAGATTTTGGAATCGTGAAGAGGATTCGCATCAACAATACCGCAGTCAATACGTTCGTGATTCAACCCAAAACAGCATAGAAATGTCGAATATACCCATGCAAGATTATCGACGACAGTATATCAGAGACAATTCATGGTCAGCGACACGAAGTTTTTCTCGTGAAGAATCATTTCTGTACATTTCACGGACACCATCCGAATTCGGATTATCAACGACGACGTTAGTATCATCGCTGTCAAACAGTGTATTACCGAGTGTAGATGTTCATATAAAAATGGCAAATGCTCCACGACCATCATATTTGTCAAGTAGTGGCTCTATTCTTATTCGAACCTATATTGATCAAGAAAATAAAAAAACATACGTTTAATCAGTAACCGGAAATTCTCCTGAAACCTAGATTTCTTTCTTTTTTCTTTCAATAAATACAAAGAAACTCGTGCCTTTTTTAGTGTACTCAAAAAGTGAGTACACATATAGAATCGGTCAGTATGTCCGTCGAACCGTTTACACGATAGCTTTCGAAAGGAGAAGCAGATCGTGGTGAAATTTTCTGCACAATATAATCTCATGAATATCTCGGTCGAGTTCTTCGTGAGTTATTGCGAAAATAGTCATTTTTCTCTACGCTTTTCTATGGAAAGATTGACATATGCCCATTTTCGTAAGAAAATTTTCTACCAGAGTCAAATAAAATCCTACTTTTTATATACCAGCAAATATAATCAAGCACGAAATGGTTGAAATGTTGTTAGTAACGTCATTGAGTCAGAATTACAGCTCTATCTTTCGATCACAGATATGTTACTTCAAGATTTTCTGGAGTGGAGAACTCGAATCTGTACTTCATGTGCCTCGAAATCCCATTGGTTGAGCAATAATCAATAAAAATCAAGTTATTAACAAAATGGTTGTCCTACAGTAAACAAAAGGCGGAGAATTGAAATATGAGCGGTATTCGATACCACATCCTTTCAAATGAGCAACAGTCAACAGAAATTGTACCCATGAAAAAATATTTACGCTAGTTTCGGTGTTCAGATATTCTAGAATGACTCATCTATCTCATACACTTTTTGTAGTACACATAACTATCGGATAAAATCCGAAGTTTCTGCATTTATTTTATTAAATAATAAATAGAATAAAAATCTAGTTGATGAAAGATAGATTGACAAAATACATTTTTTTTTATTAATTGATAACATTACATAATAATAAAACATTTTAAGATTTCATTTATTAAAAATTGTTTATTCTTTTAGACAAAATCATCTTTTTCAACTTGTATTATGAAAATGTTTTTATGAGTTTATGAACAAAGTGCGTCCTGAAGAGTCAGTTTTACAGTATTTCTAGATGATTTAATTTGAGTTCATTGATGTATCTAAATACTTTTTCAAACTATTTGGCAATGGTAGTTGATTGATTTTTGCCCAATCAAAATTAAGTTGTTTACAGATGGTTCGTTTCGCAGCAAATTTTAATGAAACTATTGCTGCATTTGAACGTGGGTACGAAAATTTCGTTACCATTTCTAAAGCATTTGCTTCAAACTCGGTTCTATTTTGTTCGTATAGCTGTTTAGCTTTTGGATCCATCACACAGTAACATTCAGGATCTTCTGGATTGTCAATGGCGATTACAAAAAATGCGATCATTCTACCAAACATAGTGGCGGGCGACCATTGTTCCTTACAACATTTACTGCAATAATCTGAGCTTGAACCATTATTTTTCACAGCTGGATGATAAATGGGCGTTAACAATTGCATTTCTGGTCGTCTGAATGGAAACTCTTTAGGTACTGTAATACGAACTTTGTATGATCCATACTTGTAAGGCGCAGTTCGAGGTAATAAATATCCGTATATACAGATTTGTTGTAGGTTTTCATCATTCTCTGACCTCTCGTAACGAAAGTATGATGCAACATCAGGATCATACATTAAGTTATATAGCTGCCTGAGTATTATCTTATCTTGCGTTGAATGCTGATACATCGAATACTTTGAGAAAAATATTAATAATCAAAAATTTTGTGATGTAAAATCCAACTTTCAATTTTTATTTATTCGGAGCAAAACAATGACTAATGTATAGTCAAAAAGAAATTTCCAGCAGAAGCGTCGTCGTAATAAATCAGCATCAAATCTGAGTCATACTGTATTATGTATACAATAATGCCATGCAAAGAACAGGAAAAAAAAGTAAATGAAATATACCAATGATTTTTTTTTCAATCACTTATAGAGGACGTCTGATACTGGTGTAATATAGAAACTGTCGTCAAAATAAATTTTGCGTGTGGGATGAATTTGTGTCGAGATTGAAGAAGATCTGCATCCACACCTACAGTCACGCTCAAAATTTAATTTTTATTTAACAAACATTGCTATGTAGAAGCCAAAGTATGAAAAAATATTGCTTTAAAAAAATTTAGCTTGCTTTTCATTCACTGCTAGATTCTTATAAAAAATTAGCATTTTGTCCACAAATATGACTAAATTCATCATGACTCTTGAGCTTGTCAATGTCGCACACGTAGAGCAGACGTTTACCAGGATGTTCAGATACCGTCCATAAACCACCTGGACTACCATCTGCTTTGGGCCAATGTGACAAGTCCTCTGGGCCAACTGCGGCGTAGTGAGTAGTATCGATTTCTAATATTCCGGTTGTAGAAGTCATAGGTTTGGTTACGTACAAAAAACAAATTCGATGCACCTTGACTTCTACTCAAATACCATGTATTATTATAAGAAACTCCACCTTGAATATTGGATATCGGCAGTCGATAGGCTGCATCAGCTTTCCAAAGGCCATTGAGGGTGTAGGTGAGAGTGTCTGATCAAGCAAGAGTCTTATCCGTCATCCACCCACACCGTTCTTTTTATAATAAAGAAAACTTCTAACTACTTAATAATGAATTAGTTATCTCAACCAATCGAAGTACATTCCAAGTTTTATTCTTAACAAATCCATGAAATTTTTGACATAAGTATAAAGAAAAATTCAACCAAGCTAAAAAAGACTACTTTTTTTACAATTGAATTGATTTAACAATTTTTCTAACATATTAACAAATAACTTTCTATAAGAAAAAAATGAATAATTATTCGTTATTTAAAATATTTTGTATCATTCGATAATGAACAATAAATAATAATGTCATTAATATTTTTAATAATAAAAACATAGAAAATAAAAATAATAATATACCATTGATTAATGCATAATAGATATTAGACGTATTTGAAATAAAAAATTCTCCATGTATCGATAAACTTATAATAAGAAAAATATTTGATAAAACAAATAATCGAAATGGTTTTTTAAAAATCCATATTATTGATATCGTATTAACAACACATATTATCATAAATATACGTTGTAATGGAGATAATGTATCATTATAATATTTTTTAATAGGTTTATTATTTTCCAATAGATGAAGTGTTATATAATCAAAATCTAAATCACAAATCAAAGACCAACATTGCTGACAAACTGGATTGTATATGTTAAGGTTATCTTTAGCGATTTGCTTTAATTTATATACTTTTTGTTCTAATATTTTCAATTTTTCGTTTTCTTGCTTAAAATTCTCATTGAAATAATTGTGTTTCGAATGAATATCTTTCATCATGGGAATACATATGGAAAATATCGAATAATAAATCAAAATTAATGTGACACTAATGGTTAGTAATATCCATTTATCTTGATTTAATAAATAATCAAGAGATTGTGGTCTCTAAAAAATAAATAAAAATAATTAATTATTAATAGGTAACCTTGTTTTGTCAAATAAAAAAGATTTTATTTACTTACAGCTTTGTTGAATAATTTTTTTTCTGTTTTGTGATGTAAATTTTCATTTGCAGCATCTGTATAAGATGACATGATGAGAAAAGATATTATCTAGAAGAAGAAGAAGAATGAAATATAAAAAAAATTTAAGCTAATTTTTGTTTATCAACTGATTTTAAACAAACAATGATGATTTCTATACATAATGTATGTATACTTTTGAATAACACACATACAGATGGGATAATCACAATCGAATCGAAATATAAAGTCTGTTGTTGATTACTGATGTAAATAGATCCAAAAAGCATCATTGATGTAATTGTTGTAACGATGGTAATAAATTTTGGTCCTCCAAAAATTAAGAATACTATCAATATATTAAGAATATTTAAAATGTTGTATCTAGGTTGTTAGCTCTGCTTCGACGAGCGTGTAGATATGTATTCGAAAAAAAGAAAAATCACCCCTAACACACACATATTTATATCGAGAAAAGAGAAAACTAGAAGAAAGAAGAGAGACGAACCCTCCTAACATAGGTCAAACAATCCAGCACGGAAACGGCCGATTCCGTGTTATTCCGGAGATTTCATGGAAGCAGTATTCCGGTTGAACGGATCCGGTGACCACATTTATCTGGTTTGGGCCGCAATCGACAGGAACATGTCAAAATCGGCAGCCGGATACGGTTACCTCACTTCTCGATCAAATTTCTGGCATTTTCCAGGCGAGTTTTCTCAGGGATTTTACCGAAAATTCATGGAATCCTGCTTTAGGAACCATCGTCCTGGGTATACAAGTAGATATATCATCAATTATAGAAGTATTTAAATAAATTGTTCTCATTAAGACATATTATTCTGAAAATTTACGTGAGAAAAAAAAAGAACAGCTAAGTATGAATGATAGAAAAATGAATGATGGACTATAAGAAAAAACGATATGAAACAATTTTCTCTGTTCTCTTGCTATCTTTGTTTAGAATGAATAGAAAAAAAAATTGTTTTATATGTGTATGAATGCGTTCAGAAATGTGTTTTCTCAATATTATGTGATGGAAGCAGACAGAAGAGTAACATTGCTATCATTCATCCGAGCAAGGTCACGCAATGTCTTAGTATATATTGACCTATTCCATCAACAATTATTTGCTCTTTTTTTTTCTTTTTTTGCTTTTCTATATCTGTTCATGACACTTAAAAATAACTAAAAAATTAAAAACTAAACCAAAAAATATAACTGATCATGTAAGGGAATTTGAATAATTAATCAAACTACTGAATTATTTTACAATGATCATTATAAATTATAGAGATTTGCCTATCGGCTAATCTAGATCCTCGAACCTACCACTACCGCGATGGTGCTTTTTAAAATCTCTGGTTTTTCGGGACTCTGAGACATTTAAACCGAAGCTGCTGTCAGTAATCGGTTAAGCTCATCAAGTCTTTCAGTGCAGTACCTACCAAAATCAAAATTATGTCTAAATTCATGAGTATTGAAAAATGTTTTTGTAGCAGCTGCCGTTGCCACGTCGCTACGATAAAAAGAATTAACTGACGCTGCCGTATCGCGGCCGGCAGCGGCAGTGCAGCGATGGACATCTCTGTAGTGAAGGTCAATAGTTCATATATCAACAAAAGTATAAATATGAATAAGACTATCCAATATAATCATATTCTGATGTTTACTCTTATGCATTTTATTCGATCACTGTTGTGTACAAGTAGCAATAATTCATCTATTATGACCAGTCAATCTGAAATATTATCCAATACAATTGTTAATGAAAATATTAACTATTCATTAGTTGGTAACTACAATAATGGATCAACTAAACGGATGTTGAAAGACATAATCTATGAATTAAAATTATTAAATGAACAAATGCAAAGATTGAACTCGTTTCATGAGATTCAATTTTTTTCAATTATGGGTATGGTAAGTGGAGAGATTAAAATAAAAATTTCGAAAATTATTTTAAATTTTAGGCTTATGGTGTTATACTTGTCTTATTAATGAAAAAGATCTGATATTTGAGAGTTAATTTTTTTTCTTTCTGCATTTTTTTTGTTATGATATAATAATAGTGAAAAAAACAATGAGATTAAAGTATGCTTGGGAAGTTCATATTTTCGTTGTAATATATTCTATTAAACTCAAATACAACGTATAAATGTTAATCACACGTCCCAATGATAAAGAAAATAGCCGCTGTGGTATATACGCAACAATCAACACAGAACGAAACATTATTACAATAGTCAAACTTTATTAAACTTGATATATATTTGCATAAAATAAGTTTTCCCATTTCATTTCGAAATGTTTTCGAAATAATTAAATTTGTATAACAATTAACAAAGAATGTTATACTGGCAAGAACAAGAAATATATTTGTAAGACAACTTTGTATTTGTGCTTGTTCAAGATTCACAACATATTTTATTTTGTTATTTGTTGATAAATAAGAAAACTTGCAAATAATAAACTAAATGGTGTATAAATACTTATATCCATAATTAATATTAATGCTAGTTATCGATCTTTTGACGAAGTTGAACGTATACCATTATTGTCAACAATAGTTTTACTTGCAGATGATTCAGGAACTACTCTACCACGTTCTAAAGTTCGAATATTTCTAATCGCCCATAATTCAAATATAATCATTAATGAAAGTACTAAGATTTCTTTAATAACAGTATAATAACCTACAAAAGTAAGTGCAAGGTCAGATTGAAAACAGCAAACCCAAAACTTTCATAGCAAATTCCAAAGCTTTGGGTTTGTTGCATCCCTAACTTATATACCCTCGTTCCTATTCAAGTAATGCATTATCTTATTATAAATTATCAACAACAAATCAAATAAATTTATGTTATTCGTTTGAACATTTAGTAACTGTTTGAATTGATACAATAAATGATGATTCATGTTATAAATATTCACGTTGTTTTACTCATTATGATCGAAAGAATTTAGTTGAATATACAAGTCTATTGTTTTTTAGAATTTAATATTGAAAATGATTTATAATGCTTAATTTCACAATTATTTTTTCATCAGAGATTATTATAGACTGATTTCAATATAATGTAAATATAAACTCGGATAGAATGAAATAAACCTCATTTGCATTTAAATTTATATGTAATAGATTCGATTAAATCATATTCAATGAGAAAGTCTTGCTCAAAGAATAAAAATTATAAATCTTTTCTTTTCGAGTAGCATTCAACAAAATAAACACAGATAATTGTCGAAAACATACTGAAAACTAATATTTTATATCGCATAATAATCGAGTTTACTCTACAATGTATTAATATTACCGAATAACTGATGATGATATTTCATATTCATTAGTTGAAAAATGTTTTACTACAAGTTATTATTACGACTGTACATGAATAATAGATTATTATATTCTATATCAATATAACAAGAATAAATAACATGTTAAGCTAACAAGTAACGCTCAGCTCTTTCTCGTAGAAGCGATATGTCTTCGCTACCAGTAAATTATTTATTCAAACAATTTTAAAAACTAGAAACAGATTCGAAGTCCTTACATCGAAATATCTCTAAAAATATGTTTTCGAGAAAATCAGTGTTCGATGTTCTTTTGACCCTGCGAATATACAATCAAGCAAACAAGAAATCAGACAATTGATATTATAACTGGACTCTTTTCTACGAGAAAGAGAACAGTAAAATTAACAATGAAAAAATGAACAATCTTTCTATTTTAAAGAAATTATTGTTGTCTAGTTGTTTTTAATATCATGTTTAATCGAAAAACAAACATTTTTCCTTTATTATTTAATACAATAAAACGATCGTGAAAATTCAACAGATATCATTTCGGTTCTACTATAAAAGATCGAATGGTAAAAATGTCGAAAAATGGCGCTATCTATCACGTCTTCTTTTTCGACATTTTTACTTTCGACGTTTTACAGTAGAACCACTATTTCTTTTTCTTTTCTTTCTAGTTCATCAGTTATATTCTTCTTTTTCATATGATAACGAATTATCGAGAACTATATTAGATGATAAAACGTGGATGATTTCTTTTCTAAACATTATAATTTTCATTTAGATCATTTTCAATATGGTTAACACAAAACGTTTACGAAGCGAAAGTTTTTATAATTTTCATGAAAATAATGATCGAAAACGATTCTTGTCATCAACAACAAACGAGTAAATAAAAAAAAATTTTAATTAAATTTTAATTATCAAAATTTTAATTTAGTAGTTTTACACAATTTGAACATCTTGCAAATGAACTTATTTATGACATATTTGATTATCTTGATTTTTATCATATTTATTTAAGTTTTTTCAATCTTAATTTTCGATTTCGTTCTCTTCTTATTGATTCAACTCTTCCATTAAATATTAATTTATTTCTAATGTCTAAAACAACATTCAATCAATACAATGAAGATATAATTAAACCTAATCAACAACGTATTGATATATTTCGACTTACAAATTATTATATGTTTGATAAAAATACATTTCTATTTTCACAAATGATATCACTTCAAACACTTATTCTTGAAACTGTTCGATCAGTACAAATGAAAGATATAATTCAACAATTAATTTTATTACCAAATCTTTCATCATTAACTATTTCAACAATTAATGCCGTCGAAAATATTGATTTTATTTATAAACAAGTATTTCGTTTAACTTCATTACGATATTGTAAATTATCATTATCAAGAAAATTTCCAAAACATGTATCACCATTAACTCTTAACGAATATAGTCCAATTGAACATTTAAATATCGATCATGGACTAGGATTTGATGAATTAAGTACATTATTATTATATCTTCCACAACTTCGTCATCTTTCAACACATATATGGCATAAAACAGATTTTATATTAAAACCTCCATGTGCTGTTTTGAATAATTTAACACATGTGTCTTTAAAATTGTATGGTTGTGTTACATTTAATGATTTCGAACTATTTTTAGTTAATTATTGTACATCTATTCAATTCTTACGTATTTCTGGTGATAAAGAATTGCTTAATGCTAATAGATGGAAACGATTAATATCTTCATCTTTAACAAATTTACAAACTTTTGATATTGAATGTGAAATACGTTTCGTTGACAATACAGCAATTAAACAAGAAATGAAGAATTTTAATTCTTTATTTTGGATTGAACGACAATGGTTTTTTGAATGTCGTGCCTATTCAACAAAATTTTATGATGAAACACTTTTCTATTCAACGAATCCATTTAGGTAAATAATCAAGAGGCGAAAAAAATAACAATAACATAATGATACAACATTTTTTTGTTATTTTAGAAGAAAAAAATATCGACTAAGTCAAGGCAAATCAAATAAGAATCGTTTCCAAACAATTTTAAATTCAGTTCATCATGTTACAATTGAAGATAATAACGAAATTAAAGAAAATACATATTATTTTCCACAGGCTACTACACTTACTCTAGCATCTAAAGTTTCTATTAATGATATAACAATTGTAAATAATCTTCAACGTATTTTATCTTTAAAACAAATTCAAATTCTTGAAATTCTATCTGATCATTTATGTCCTTTAAAGATGTCTGAATTATTATCATATATGCCTAATGTACATACATTAACATTTCGATCAATGTCATTTGATGGATATGGTAAAAAACTTTTTGAACAAAATCCATTATTTCGATTAATATCGAAAATAAATTTAATTAAATCGATTCATTTTTATGGTAAATGTACATTACAAAATCTTGAAATATTTCTCAAATTATTTCCGAATTTACAATATATTGAAACATCTGTCGAATTACAACAAATACAATTAGTTTTACAATATTTATTAAATAAAACTAATACAAATGCTCGACATTTAAGATTATTATGTTTTAGTTGTGATGGTAAAGAATCTCATTATATAAGTAAATTAATTAAATCAAGACTTTTACCATGCGATTGTAAAACAATTTTTGATGATCAACATTTAAGATTATATATATGGTGGTGATAGTTGTTTTTGAATAGACTTTTTATTTATTTATTTATTTATTTATTAATAAACGAGATACGTATATCATTTGTTAGGAATGTACATAATATCCTTTCTATTGATTGATACATGGGCGGCGCAGCTTCGATTTTTTAGGGGATGCAATAAACTTTTAAATAAGGCTGTATAGTGTACAACCTTCCACATACTGATGGATTCTGTAGTAAAAGCTTTTTTTATAAACTTAATTTTTCAAAGTCATAGCGCTGAAACTTTGCATACTAATTTATCAGAGAGTAAATTAAGAGTCTTATAACAGGCTAACATTTTTTCTTGAAAAAAAATTACTCAGAACGAGTTAGCGAAGATTCATGTTCGTCTTTCTAGCTGTCTTCATTCACTGACTATTGGATGTGAGACTTGATACTCACATAAAAGTTCTCCGAATATTTTAACAGCTGTTTCTTTTTGAAAGAACTATAGGTATAAGAATATTCCTTCATTCTTTAACTTTTCGAATAGTTATAAGTGTTCGTAAATATGTATTAATCGTAGAAAAATGTACAATACTTTTATTTAATTTCAAAATATTTTTTTTCTTTTATCTTTTTTTTTATATGAAATCGGTTACAATGGTATCAATATCGATTTGATGATCTTTTTCTATATTTATTAATGCTAATGGTGATAATCGTTCTTGTTCAATTGTACTCCTAAGATACGCTAATAAATTAAAAATAAATTAAATTTCACGAAAAACAAACAAACAGTAGAAAAAGATTAGCCATTATGCTCCACCAATTATTTGCTATTTAATATAACTTCAAGTCTTTCGATGAAAATAAATACAGGTGTGGATGTTGAGATACAATAGAGCTAATATACAACCAACACCCACATCTACTTCACATTCACCTCACGCCCATACTTACAATAATGACAGCAATTTAAAACAGAAATGTTAAGTTCAGCTTCAAATTGATGTGTTCATTCAACATATGCATAGAGCAACTTAGTGTTTAGAGAGCTAACGTCGTTATATAGAAGCAAAAGTATTAAAAAAAATATTGCTTTAAAAAATTTTAGCTTGTTTTTTATTCACTGCTAGATTCTTATAAAAAATTAGCATTTTGTCCACAAATACGACTAAATTCATCGTGACTCTTGAGCTTGTCAATGTCGCACACGTACAGCAGACGTTTACCAGGATGTTCAGATACGGTCCATAAACCACCTGGACTACCATCTGCTTTGGGCCAATGTGACAAGTCCTCTGGACCAACTGCGGCATAGTGAGCAGTATCGATTTCTAATATTCCGGTTGTAGAAGTTATAGGTTTGGTTACGTACAAAAAACCATTCGATGCACCTTGACTTCTACTCAAATACCATGTATTATTATACGAAACTCCACCTTGAATATTTGATATTGGTAGTCGATAGGCTGCATCAGCTTTCCAAAGGCCATTGATTAACTTCGGTTGGCCAGTGTTACCATCCAAAGGCCAGCGAGCTACACGCCCAGACTTATTAATATCACCTGCAGCAATTTTATCTGCACAGAATTCACCTGTAGTCAAATGAGGAAAGCCACTGCGATCAACTCCTGTGAACGAAAATGTAGGTGAACCAGCATTAAGTGTACAAGTTTTCGTTGAATCCCTATTGACGACGCTGCTCCATGCAGCTATTTCTGGCATCACATAGCGATAACCATGCCCATAATATTTGCCATTATGATAACCGATTTGATTCTTGTCGGTAATATCACCATTTTTTGCTTCTTTCAAATCAAAAATATAGCGCATATCGAAGACTCGAAAACCACGTGCAGTATCTGCAACGTAAAGATAATTACCATACCAAGCAATGCCGCCAGCATGCAATGAGTCATATCCTTCTTTCTGCGTAGTTCGTAAACTCATGTAGCTTACGTTACCAAAACTATTAATAAATGGATAGACCAATAAAACATGTTGATATTTGGCTGTCTCTGGATCAAAGAAAGTCACTCGAGCACCTTTTATCTTATCAGCATCTGTATTTGTTGGTGTTTTAGGTTTTTTATCGTACCAACTAATAAGTATCGGCTGTTTGGTATTCCAGTATTGATCTGTTTTAGCATCACCTACTGTAGTAACACCTTGTGGCATCCATTCTACTTCACCACCAATTTTTCCACTGTCAGACGCATTGAAACAATAGCTGGCACTACTCAAAGTTCGTCTAGCAGTAGCATCAGAGTTACATGTTTCAAGCGAAGTGCTTGGTTCGCCATGACGATTAGCCTGTTCAAGGATGTTCTTAACGCCAAGTTTTGGTAACTTCGTATCGAGCTTTATAACTCGATCCAGCAATTCAGCTTGATTAGTAGCTGGTCGTAACTGGAAATCGTTAAGATTCGGTGCTGTACCGCGTTCAGTTGGTGTGGCCTTAGCAGCTAGGAACCAACTGGCAAAGATCACTACTGTTAACATTATTCGACTTAACATCTTCGATTGTTGTTTCATTTTCCACATGTAACTTTGAAACTAGAAAAATTGAAGAAAATAGTAATAAAAGATGATTTAATAAACTCCATTAAATTCAGTAATATACGATGAAAATATATGTACTGTAACTTGAGAACAATCTCAATGGAGTACTAACAGATTTTATATCAAATTTAAGTGCATGAAAACACTATGAAGAAACAAATAAGATAACGAAAAGTAGTAGTGTAGTATCAAAGACACAATAATTGACTATACCAAGAACGTAACTTATGTAGTTATCATTGTTCAAAGCGAGTCTCCCTATGCGAATCTAACTAATAGCAATATACATTCTGAAGAGTATCAAGTAAAATATACCTTATCTAAATCAATTGCGTTGTTGTTTTGTATATACGTTTCGATTAAAAGAAAAATAAATTTGCACTCTGGTTTTCATTTATTTTTTTCAATTTTTATTTAAGCCTATCAAGAATATGGAGGCAAGATTAGAAATTATATATTGTTTTTCTATATATCTCTCGTACTTGAAATGAATATACTAATACAGAATGAAAAAGAAAAGTAATTGAAAATAAATACTCTTATGAAGCTATGAATTGATTTCAAAATAAATAGTAATATAGATCATTTGTATAATTGAATAAGGAAATACATGTTGAATAATGACAATACAAAACGATTATTATTCATCAGAAACTAGGTTTTTAACACGACGTGTCTATTTCATTTTGTAAACGTTTATAAACAATAATTCTGACGCCTTTTTGTCTTTATTAATAAGACTGATCATCAGCTAATTAACAGTTTTTGACTAATGAAGAAACAATATCAAGATGAACTTTGGTATCTGTTTTCATTAAATATCACTTATTATGAATATTTCTTAGTCAATAAATTATATACTTGCCTTCTTCAAATCGCTGATCAAAAGAAAACTAAGTTATTTAAGCATTGATTGGCATACAAAAACTTAATCTACTCATATTGTAGATATTTTTAAATCTTGGTGATTTTTCAAATTAATCAACAATTTATTATTCTTTTGAATTTTATGAATGTATCAATAATATTCTGAACTAATTTATATTCCAAGCGAGATTTTTATGATAGATCTGACTGTATGTTCAGACATTATCGTGTGATATAAAATAAAAATTTCTGAAAGAATAGAACTGAAGATCTTATTATATTTTATTTAATCATAGAATACGATGTTTATGGACAAAAGGTTACTTCCATGTGGTCAGGATGGAATGTATCAGCCATTGAAGATGGATCATCACCCCACCAAGAATAAGCATCAGGACATCGAGCTTTGAAATGACTAGGATTCACCGAATGATTTTTGCAGGCTCTCACACTGCCATTGACCCAAACCTTTAGATTATCGGGACATTCATTGAGAACATTCCAACCGACACAATAGAGATTTCGACGATTACCACCAGCACCGCCAACTGGTACAAGTGTCATTGGATAGGTAAAACCATCAACTAGAGAAATATCGTACCAAATATGTCCATTGTCATCATTGATCTCAGCTAAGGTATCATCACCCCAAATGCCAGGTTGTACAGCCCACGTTCGATCAGATCGACCATTTGTTCCCCAACTTTCCTGTCCAGCGTCTATCCATCGACCACTATCACCATTTCCAATACGCACTAACAATGAAAATCCACACTTGTTTTTCACTTTTACTCTAACCCCACACACTAAAATAGATACAACAAATATATATAGAAAGAGATCTTTTTTCTACTTTTACCTGTGCCAATGATAAGAATGCCTAGAAGGCAGGTTCTTATTGCAGTCATATTTGAATGAATCAAACCTATATGATTTAAATTCAGTCAAACAAGTAACATAAAACGTTGTATTTTTCGAATTATTATCTCTCAATGGATTATATCCATAGGAAAAAGTTTTCCTATCATTAAATTGATAAGAACAAATGAGAAAAACTTCATGGTGATCGAAAAGTTTGTTATATATGCTTATTGATACTATCAATAGATAGAAGTTTCGCATTGAAAGTGAATATTTGATGAAAAAATAATTGGAAAAGATTTTTATATATTTTCACTGAATTCAATGATAACTAAAAAAATCTGGGATATATTCGAGTAAAGTAGGGGAAAGTATTATTAGTTCAATATTTAATATTTAATAATATGAGACTTCTAATTGCTGTTCTAAAGAAAACGCTGAATAAAATTGATTTAGATAATTTCTTAACCCCTATTATATTATAATTTCAGATGTTATTCTGACTACTTATGATTTATATATCAACATCTACATGATTTTGCTCGGATCTCATTAGTTTCAAGCACAATTCACTAGCTCAATTATTATTCAAAACAAAAAGGAAAAAGTTCAAATTGAGGATAGTACACTGTAGAAGGTCAAACTTGTGTTCATTATTTTCTCACATATGTTGAAAATATAAATAAAAGTATACCTACTGTTTTCTTATAAGTGATTATTGATTTAAAAAGAGCGAGTTAAAGTTCGCTATTTAATATCTCATCGATAAGAGTGAGAAAAAGTCATCTGGCTTCGATAAAGAGAGTAAAGTGCATCACAGGTGCACTTCCATCAGAAAAGATTAATACTCGCTAACGTTGTGCAAATATTTTTGAAAATATATTTGGATATCTGTTAATGAGTATAAATCAACACGAGGCATATCAATTTTGTGCACCATCCTATTTCGTCTATTAATTCAATATTATAATTCAAAGATCTATTGATAAACTTCATTGAAATAAAAATCAGTTGTCTCTCGAAAAGGCACAATCATGATGATATGGCGTTGACAACAATGAGGAATTATGTTAACAACTTATATAATAATATAGAACATGTTTAATATTCTTTTATAAAATAATTCTCGATCAAAGGTAATTGATTTTTAAAATTATGATAATCAGTATATTTATCTTTAATTGAGAAGTGTCAGTGTCATTCTTTGTTATGAAGACTAATTCAATATTGACAGAGAAGATTATTCTTTATTATATAGTTACGATTTCGAAAACATCATGAGGTAATAATTATCTTTATATTCATACACACCTAATGTATTTAACTATATTTTATAAATAAAAATAACATTCAAAAAATATTTTACAAGGGAAGATTCCGTAGCTTTCAACGAAAATGATGTAGAATTTGTTAAGTAAGGTATAAAATAATTAACTACTCTTGAAAAATACTCAAATATCAATTTCTTCATTATTCAAAATAGATATTTTTTATTTTAACAAAAACTTTTGTATCACCCGTTTTATATCATTTTTTTTCGAAAAATAATAATAAATATATGTAAATATCTTTTAAGTTTAAATATTTGACATAATTATTATAATATGGTTAAATAACGAAATAAAATATGAGTTTATCTCGGATGTTTTGGTAAAAAAGATAAAAGAATTTTCTTTACTGGTTTAGTTAATATAAGATTAGCCAACATAGACGATCCAGTTGCAGCTGAACTACCCATAAAACTAAGATGAAGGGCATAAGATGGAGCTTGCCATTGATCATTTGATAATATTGTAGCAAAAAAGAATACAAAAAAAATAAGTCCAACACTAAGTAATAGAAATACTGGTAACGATAAACGAGCTAAAACTCGTTTTTCTTTATAAATACGTTTTTTAATCTTATCATGTTTTCGTCTCGCTTGATATTTTCGAGAAACATATCGTAAAATCCAATAAGAACAAATAGATTGAAATATTAATGGAGTAAAATAAAAACTAACTGCTGGATATAAAACTCCAAAAATATCATTTAAAGCGATATAACATGCATTTGCACTAGGATAATATGGAAATCGATTCGTTAATAATAATGGTAATAGACCTAATAAACAAAGTATTAATTGTATTAGAGCTAAAAAGAAAAATAAACAACGATTTTGCCATTGACGACGATGAACAAAAATAATAACAATTAATCGATGTAAAGTTTGTAATGCAGCTGCTTCGAATATATATAAACCACCGACTGTAAAGAAATAACTACGATATGGACATAATCGATCTTCTGGCGAATTCATCATCATATGAATACCTTGAGATATCATTGAAACACATGTTATTAATCCTCCAAAACTTAAATTCATAGCAAGAAGTAAAGTAAGATTTTGACGAAATTCATATCGAGTTATTACAATTAATATAAATATTAAACTGCTAATTAAACCAATAAAACTAAATGTAAGTAAAAGTAATTCAAGAGGAATTGACCACCACAAATTTTTTGACATATTTAATAAATTCGATTGATTAGTTATCAACAATAATAGGAGATCTGAAAATATTCAATATGAGTTTTAGATTAGTTAACTTCTCAAAAATTGATGAATGTAGATCATACATGAAAGAATAAATCTGAATATTTAAACATACGAAGTAATTAGCATAAAAATGTCTATCATTAAAAAAAAGTTTATTAAGAATAAATTTTTTATTTCTATAATATTATTTAACTCAAAGAATGTCTCATAGGATCGAGAAGTGTTGAAATAACTTAATTATTCTTTTTCTCCTAGCGAAGAGTCTTGCAAGAATAAATTGTTTGTCCGCACTTCACTGATTGATCTAAAAATTAGGTAAAGATATAAAAGGAATTTTTTTTATAAGGATTCACCGAAAAATTCAAATCTGACTTCTGTTTTGTTTAATTATATAAATCAATAGCTTGATAGTTGTTTAGTAATGCGATTTCTACGAGAAAGAGCTGAGCGTTACTTGTTTAAAAAAAAAGACATTTTCTAAATGTGTTTTTAAATAGATTTCTTATTTTTGACAAATATCAAGATTTATCTGTCGAATAAAAAATTGTTTTCTAAACTACAGAAAAATGAATAGATGCAAAACAAATTATAAAAGAAACTAATGCATCTGTTGTTTTTTTAATTGATTCATTATTTTTGTCCTGAATAAGATAAATACTTTGCATTCTCATGCTTAATTACTCGCACTTAGACTGTCAGCCGTCAAAAATAAGCTTTTTAATGAGTATTGCTGACTTAGATTAGAGGTTTAAAGAACTATTAGGTAAGTGACGTATTTCGAAAAAAAAATTTATCATCCTGGTAATATTAAAACAAAAAAAATTTTTTTCTTAATTTAATTAATATGTCAAACAGATACTCACGCACAGACTTCAACAGAAGCAGAAAAATTCGTTGAATGATAATGTTAAATAATTATAAAAATGTTGATCTCTGTTTTCTTATTATAAACACAAGAGGATATGCAGATAAGTGGGTCAATGTGGGTGAAAAGAAAAGATTTATATACATATATATTTGTCCTTGATTATTCTTATCATATAATAAGTAATTGAATAATTTGAAAAGGAAAGAATACTTCCACAGAATAGTCACATCCTATCACTAATTAATTCTTTTTTCTTTCCTCTCTTCGTGGATAGTATATGTTGACTATTATAAAGAAATACTAAAGAAGAGAAAAAAATGCTTTGTTTTGATTGTGTTAGTGTAAAATAATGAAAGGCAAATCTTCTAATAAAAAGTCTATAATGATTTTCTAGGCATTATTCTATATACAACTTCTTTAAATTGAAATATAATGTCATGTAATCTTACCAAATCTAACGTTAAATTATTTATTTGCGATACGATGAGTCTATTCAAATCAACTGTCAGTAAAAAAATTATTATAGGAGATATGCATTCATTTTTACTATAAATATGTATATATAATTTTTTAATAGTCAGAATAATTCATTAAATTGCATGACAATTATCAAAAAAATTCATCTAGGTGAACGCTCATCCTACAATTAATATTATTTCTTGTTATTATTATGCATTCTGTGAAGACTGTAATTAATTTGTTTGTGTAAATAAAAGATAAAAATAGTGTTTAAAGAAAATTTTTCAATCAATCTAAATTTGCAAAATACATCGATTAACCCTTTCCGGCCGGATGTTGCCAAACGGGAACAATTTTACCATAGGAACGTACGGCATTTTTTAAAAAGTCGGCAGTGAAAAATTGATCCCTATAACTAAACAACAAAGAATATATAGAAAGATAACTTTTTGCTTGTTGTCTTCTGGTAGCCGGCCGTAAACGGTTAAACAATTAATATTTTACCATAAGTAGAAGTCGTAGAGATAGAAATTGTTTTATAATCAGTTCGCAACATCCCTGATGAATTTGGCAATAAATCAATATCAAGTTCATTTATAAGTAGTATTTACAAAGGGTGATCGAAAATCGCATTATATCTATTTATGGAAACAACATTCTATCTGATGTGTTTGTTGTGATATTCCATAAGAAATTTTATTCTTTCAATCCATTCTTTGAATATTTCATAAATATGAATCTGTACTCGTTTTTTCGAAGTTCTAAAAATATATTTTATTTTATATTTTTTTATTAACGGTTTTTAACTTGATGATTTTTGTTCATTGAATTTGATAAGAATTGATAGAAAATAATATATTTGTCATTTTATTTCGAATATTTTATTAATTAAATGATAATTATACTCAAATTTATACGTTTTTATAGACAAGAAAAAGAAATAAATTAATGATTGAGAACTTGTGGATTAATAACATGAATAGGCGTACCATCAACATAGGCTAAAATCTGTTGAAAAATATCCGAAAATTGAATTTCATATTCATCAATTGATACATAACCAATATGAGGTGTGCAAATAACATTATCCATTGTAAGAAGAGGATTATTAGTATCAATCATTGGTTCATTTTCATATACATCAACAGCTGCCATACCAGGTCTACCAGAACGTAATGCATTAACCAATGCCATTGGTTCAATTAATCCTGCTCGACTAGTATTAACAATGAGTGCAGTTGATTTCATTAAATCAAGATCTTTAGCAGTAACCATAGAACGTGTTGCATCAACTAAACGCATATGAAGTGATAGAACATCACATGTTTTGAAAAATTCAGATTTATTATTTGCTGTTGCATAACCATCAATACGTGCACGACAAAGTGAAGGTTCACGTGCCCAAACAAGTATATTCATACCAAATGCTTCACCATATTTTGCAACTGTACTTCCAATTCTTCCATAACCATAAATACCAAGTGTTTTTCCACGTAATGTACTACCAATACCAATTTGCCATTTACCTATTTTAAGTGCAGCCATTTGTTGAGGAATTTGTCGCATAGCAGCAAGTATAAGTCCCCATGTAAGTTCAGCAGTAGCATATGATGGACTATCAGTATGTTGATTAGAAGAAACAATAATACCTAAACGATTACATGCATCAATCTCAATATGTGGATAAACACTTCGTTGACTAATTAATTTTAAACGAGGTAATTGTTTAAGAAGATCACCACTTATATGTGTTCGTTCACGAATTAATACTAATACATCAGTATTTTTAAGTCGTTGAACAAGTATATCTATATCTTGTACATGATCATTCCATATTGTTACATTATGATTATTTAATTTACGATAACATTCAAGTGTACGAATTGTATCAGAATAATCATCAAGTATTGTTATATTCATTTTGAAGACAAAAAAAAATGTTATATATCAATTGTAGAACGAAAATGTTTTATCACAAGGTTTTCTTCTAATAAAATATCACTCACGCACTTTAAAGTCAAATAAAAAAAAAAGATAAGAATAATGTCATTTTATCATTTGTATAAATATGACATATACCATGCATTTTTCGTGAGTTTTGCATTCAATTCTGGAAATTGAATTATTTTTAAATATCATAAAAAAAATTATTAAATCTATTCAAAGAAAAATTACTAAATAATATTACATTAAATGAATGAAATTTACTCAAACAATTATATGGGAAACATGTTTCATTAATCTTTGATTAATTTTCAAATCTAAGAAAATTGTTCTAATAATTGTTATTTAGATATTTTATTTTATAATTAAAAATGATTCGAATATCTAATATTGATAAGAAATATTCGTCTAATGTTATTATTATGATATGCTTGATTGAATCCACGTATGAAACTGTATTCTGTTGTTATAATATGCATCAGTGAATACAATTATACAAAAAAAAGATATATTATATTATATTATTATCGAATAAATAAAACCATGTGACGAAAATCAACGTTTTCACTGATGATTTTGTTTTTATGTGATGATTATAAATCGCGGTTGATTGTCTAAACGGCGACATATGAAATCAATACAATTTTATTTGTTATGTAAAAGAAAAATATTTCTTTTAGAGAAAAAAAAAACAAGGTGACATTGTTATAATAGAAGAAATTTTCTTCGATGGAAGACGAACGAGTCAAAAATGTAGCTAAATGGGTATTAAATTATACTCGTGGTGAAAACGAAGTACCACATACTCGTTCATATGAAATTTACAGTAAATTACTCTTTCGTATAGCCGCTGCCGATGGTGAACTTGCACCTTCTGAACGTGAATGGATTATTGGTCAACGAGCTGCATTAGGTTAGCTATTTAATAAGATAAATATTTAATATTTTTTGTTTTTCTAGGTGCATCTGATGAACTTCTCGAAATGCTTGAAACATATGAACCGTCAGATGATGATTGGGGAGCTTTATTAGAATTTCAACGTTCATTTATTGAATCAGTTAAACATTTTCTTATCTATGATGCATTTCAAGCAGCATCAGCAGATTCCGAATTACATGAAGATGAACGAAAAGCTATTTCCCAACTTGGAAAAGAACTTGGTATAGAAGAATCAACTATAGAAAAAATTGCTCAATTACATCGTGATGAAGAAGAAATTAAAAAACGACGTATTGCATTATTAGCACCTCATAAAATTAATAAACGAACTCCTTCAGTTACCGAAGAAGAATTTTAATAATTATAATATTTTTTTTATTTTAAACTAAGAATAAATACATATATTAATTAAAATAAAAGAAAATATATTCTATTCTCAAATATTTATCCCTTGATAACGTAATCTTTAGAATATTTTTTTCTTATTACATAAGTATTTTGTAAAGTTAAAAGCTAAATTAATTGTTTATTTTCAAATCCTACTTCACAATTAATTAATCCAAATAAATAATATCAAAGTTCTATAATTCATAGCGGTACAATGAAGAAAAAATTTATTTTTAAACAAAACTTGTATATAAAAGATAGAAAAAAGCAAATGTTAAAATATATTTATTCTAAAGATGGATTTAATTTAAAAGAATTTCGTGGAATAAAAGTTGATATAAAAACAAGAAATGAAATAATAGATATTTGCATACCAACCGTATAAATAAATGCTGGTCGAATTGTTTGATGTGTATTATAAACTGAATCAATATATTTTCCAAGTAATGGATTTAAAATAGCATATAAAATAATATAAGATGAATAAAGAAATGCCATAACAGCACCTAATGATGAAACATCTTTATTTTTTAATTCTGGTTTACTTAATGCTGATTGAATATGTGCACTTAATGAAACATCATCACCAGCTGAACCAAATCCAAATGGTAAAAACGATAAAGCAATTAACCATGCATGTTTAATTGATATAGAAGATGGATTATAAAATGGTATGTACCATACAATTAATAATAATAAACAATCTAATCTTAACCATACAATTGGACTTCGAATTTTTTTTGTTAAAAAAAACACGGATAATGCTCCAAGTAATTCACCAAAATTCGAACCACCAACAATTATTTGTGACCATTCGGAATTATTTAAATATCTTTTAGCTATTTGTGGTGCAATACCATTTTCTATATAACGATGTACATAAAGTGTTAAGGAATAACATGGAAATAACCAAATATATTTTCGATTTGAAAATATGATTTTTCCACCAATATAAACTGATTCACCAAATAAAAGAAATCCTTTTATAAGTGCTTTAAAATAATTTGTTTTTTCATTATTATTTCCTCCAGGTATATCATCATTCGAAATATTTGTTTTAGTTCCATATGAATTTATAAAAAACCAAACAATTGATGATAAAGTAAATAAGATCGGTGTTATTATAAAAGCATAATTATTACCTAAACGTGGAATTAGAACCAAACCAGTAAGAAAGGCACCACTAACACCAGCTATTTCATAAAAAACATGTACTAATGCATCCATTCTTTGTAATTTTTCTTCATCAGTTCCAACAATATCACGAGGAATTATTCGTCGAATCAGTTCAACCATTCCATAAGCAATACCAGTTAAACAATATATTGGTATTATAATATTTGTTGGATAACTTCCATAATAACTATAATCATGTTCATACATTGGATAAAAATTAGATGGTTTAATTTTTCCACCAGTTGATGCATCAACAATCATAAGTAATGCTGTTAATAATGAAAATATAAATATTGATATTGATAAAACAGTTCGTGTTGGCCAATGTTTTATTAATGGAGCAATTAATATTGAACCAATACATTGAAATGCTTGATTTACTCCAACTAATAAACCAACTTTTTCAAATGTACGAGCTGAAATTCCAGCATGAAATGCATCACGATCATAACGATTTGTTGCTAAACTAACAATTGAACCATTAAATGCTTCTAATCCAAATTTATACAACATTATTCCTAATATATATATAAACATATTTCGTTTTTCTTTACCAGAAAATAAATTCCAAATATTTTTAACTCCACTTTTATTATCATTATTTTCTTCTTCATCACTAAAAATTAATAATCGATTTTTACAAAATTAACAAATAAATAGGTAGAATCCATAAATCGTTAATTTATTTCATCGAAAAAGTTTCTCCTTCACAAAAAAGACTTTGAATTAATCAATCAATTTGTAGCGATTGAAAGTTTTATTTCCTCACGAGGTACGTCAATCTGGTAAGAACCTTAGAAAAATTGGTTAGACCATCAGTATATTGTTAATATACAATATCAATGCGTGTGAGGGTCAATGTGGATGTATGCAGGCTGTCGCGAACCGGAGGAGAGATGATCCCTCCAAATTTGAGTCTCTATTGAATATTCTGGTTTGAACTATAGTGAAACATTTAATGTCTAGGCAGGGCTATCGTGTACCGGAAGGGGTGGGAGGTATGATTATCTCCATTCCGCAACTCTAAAAGATTCCCGACAGTGCTGGGCGTTGATAAGGGTACAAGATAAATACCAGGTACGCACCCTCACCCACTCTTTTTCCGTTAGTATTTCGACATTTGCATCTTTCGACGTTAGTAGGGGAAATCATTCTAGCCTAGGAGATAATCGAATTTTTGAAAATACATCTAATCAGTTTAGGTGACGTGTGATAGAATAAAAAAATTTATTTAAATTTTAAAGTAAATCTTTTTACTTTGTATTAATATGTTGGGATTGTTTATAATGAACTGAATTTTTTCGTTGTTGTTGAATAAGGGATTCTTCTTCATCAATATTTGGTTTTCGTAAATGATATTGTCTGGAATTTCTTTGATTATTATATAAAGAAAAGTCATTTGATTTTGGTAATTGTTCAATAATCCATTTTCTTGATGGATGATGATTGGCTGTAAAATTAAAAGTAAAAATATAATATTTAAGAAATAATTCATCTTACATTCAGATAAACGATATTGATTTGATGGGATGAAATTTTCTTTTGTTCGGAAATGATTTTGAGAAGATGACGTTTTTATTCTATTATTAAAATTATTCTGATTAGATGAAAAATGTTGTGATATTGCTTTCGAATTATTTTTAATATTTATTATTTGAATTGGAGGTGATCGATGATCTAATTTAGAAAAATCAATATCACGTTGAAGTAATTCTTTAACCCATGGATCATCAATTTGTTCATCTGTAGAAGATCTTATTTCATATTTATTATTATATGAATGTCTTTTAGAATTTGATGAATAAGAAATGGAATTATTTGGATTTAATTGTTGTCTATGTATTGATGGTTGAAGAGTATAACGACGACGAGAATTTGTTTGGTTATATTGACCATTTGTTAATGACATCTATTGCTTAAATGTTCAAAATAGTAATCGTTATCAAGCTGCAATCTTTTTTTAAACTAATTTCTCGAAATATTTGAAAAATCTTACTTATTTTTTTCTTACGAGAAATAAAATCGAATATATTCAGTATAAATGTGTTATAGTTTAACGTGTTCTATATTGTATCATAAAATTTCATTTATTGCTAAATAGTAAAATTAAGTTAACACTTAGAAGTCAAATTAAGTAACTTATTTTATGATTTAAATATCTAATCTTCGTAATAAAATCTAGATTAGAACAATAAAAGATTCTTATTTATGATGTCTATATTAATTCTATATAAAAATTCAAAAAAAAAAAGAATAGATTTTATCATATTCTATTTATTAAAATATTAATAAAAAGAAAATATTTACTTATATTAGAAGTTTATTTTATTATCGTCGATTGATTTTTATTGTGACACAAAATAGTAATATATATAACAAAAAAAAGTCATTAATGTTCTTATGAAGGTTACAGAGAGTAGTTTTATATAAATTTGCATAAAAATGTTTGACTCATACCAGAACATAATATATTCACCTCGCGGTTTTTTTTCTCTTTCTTATTCTTTATACATTAAAAAAGACTTTTTTTTCTATTCTTCTTCATTCGCCTTTTTTCCTTTGATTGTGTCCTTCTGTACGAGAAAAAAAATGATGTAATAACATGTTTCCTTCCTCATAAATATATGATGTCAAACATGTTTTATATTGAACAAATGTTATAATTCCTATACACTGTAAACTAGAACATAAGTTATAAAGTTTTTTTTAAAGGTTATTCTAGAAATG